CGGTGTGGGCCCCACGTGAATTTTACTATTCACATAGAAGAAATGATAAAAATTTGCAATCACGTAAAAATGCTTTTATTTATTTCTCAGGGTTCAATACATAATTTGATAAGGTACAAATACTTGGGGGCGGTGTTACATGATACCTCCCGCAACATAGAAACTTTCAATCCCGTGCGTGCTCCCATTCCCCTACTCCGTTCTTTTGGTTCTAAAGTCGTTTTTTGTGTAAATAGACATTAAATAATTAATTTTATGTAATATATATAATATATACAGGTAATGTTTTCGAGGTGCATGGGGTTCCGAGAGCCGTGGGACCCTTAGTGGGTCCGCCTCTGGTCAGCGAGGTGGATGCATAACGATACTTGGCGACCGAAGTGTAATGGACTTCAAATGTTGTGGCCGATGGGAGTGCGATAGAATGGGAAGGGGAGGCGGACATTTGGGATGAGTTAAGATGGAGAAAGGGAGGGGGAGATTTGTTTTTTTTTTGAGTGAGGTAATTATTTAAAATGCTATTTATATATACCAATAGCAAATTTCATTCTATTCATATAATTCTTTCATCCTAAAACTTGGTCAAATTTAATTAGTATGAGGATTAATAAAGAAAAAACTTTATGATTCAGATGTGTATATAGAAAAGGGAATTAAATGGAATCACAAATTCTTTACTTAAAAGAGAAAGTAGCAAAATGTAACAAAGTTTTTAGGGACAAAGGATTCGTTAGGCATGTGGTCACTACTTGATGTTGTAGATCACACAAAAAATTCGTTAGGCAGTAAAAGTTAGTCATCAGGGCTTACGAGGTTCCTATCCATGCAAAGATAAACCGTGAATTGGTTCTACATGATGCAGTGGTAAACCGTCACACTGCATATTGGAGATATTGAGCCGTTTTTGTTGTTTTCAGTTGAATATACGGTTTTTTTTTGTATACGAAACTCGGATTCATGCTACTCTTAAGAGACCATCATTTGGGTTTTCCAAGTCTAAAATGCAAGAAAATGGTGTCTATGGTATCAAAAACTTTTTGGTGGTTGATAACTAAAGTTTCTCACCCGTTTAGAAAGACCCGACCCACCAGGAAGAGCTACAAAAGCCACAACTAGCATCCAAAATAGAGAGATTATTTGAAACTATGGTTTTATAAACTACTTCAGATGTTATATATATATATATATATATATATATATATATATATATATATATATATATATATATAATATTTCAGGAATGAAAAATATATATACTCCATAAGTTCAAGAATTATCAGATGTACTATTAAATTATTTTCAACTTTTGGTGTTAGATGATTAAATGATTAAATATGATTGATATGATTATATAAAATCATACATTAAGTAAGATAGCAATGGGCAGAATATGAAAAGATAGCAAACTTTAATTGGTTCATGTATTTATTATATCATAATTAAAATGCACATAAATAAGTTTTTATGTTTGAAGATATACATGGATAAGGAAGAACAAAGGCTGAAAATGGCCTTCCACGATAAGGGAATATCAACTACAAACAATGTTTAACATTTATATGGACTTTACTAATTCTTATTAATATTATTAATCATGACATGTATAACATAATATACTATTTCTAAATCAGCCCTGTTGTGGTTGATAGGGAACCTAGCTTCACATATTTTGAGCATATGTGTGATAATTTACACCGCCCTACATCGGAACTAATATAAATACAAAAATCCTATACGATTTTTGTACTACAACACTTTTCTTAGAAAAAATATCCAGTTAAAGACTTATTATGACCAAAAAGAATGTTCAACAATCACGTGTAAAAGACCTATTGAAGTCATAGTTGATAGATTATTGGAGTATGAGTATATAATTTAAAAAAAAGTTCATAAATTATATAATTATTGATGCTGTTTATTAAACTTATACCTGTATTAAAAGTTTTGAGTATATGTGTCACTTATCTCGTGCATCTTTCTCTTCCGACCATTTTTTTCAATTTTGAGTAACAATGAAAAGATAGATCCTGAAATATTTTGGGTGTATTTTTAACTACAAAATTGGACAAACAGGATAACCTTTTTGACAAATTAGCTTTTATTTTTTCCAAAAAAAACTGATTCAATAACTTCAAACGTATAGATTTTAGTACACAAAAATAACATGTGCCCCACCATGGAAAGTACTTTGTACAAATAAAAAAATGTCATATATAGGTTAAATTAAAAATATACCAAACAATAGAATTTGGAAAATACCCATTGTTGGTTGGTAAAGTAGGAGATCCGCTTCATCCCAAACGGTTAATCTGACTGATTTCGGGGGAAATGAAGAATTTCATGCTGAAATGTTAATGAGCATCGAAATAACCAATGACACCTTTCTCGATACAAAGAGCGGTGGACCAAGTAAGGATGAAAATATCTGATTCACTGGTAGCTCTATGGTGTGGAGGTTAGGAGGGTGGACGATCGATGGTAGGCGGAGTCACCGAATCTCTCTTCGTGGATGGAGGTCGTATGTACGGATGAATGGGCTTAAGGAGCTTATATATATGGAAGTATTATGGTTTATTTGTAGTGTTAATTACCCCGCAGACCACTTTACTACTTGGCATATCATTAATGTCTCCGTACAAAATCTTTTTCATATTTAAACTTTTAACTTTTCAGTTTGTCTTTTTTATTTCAAAAGAGTCTAAAACTAAACCCAATCAACCGTAAAAAATCCAAATCCTACTTCGCATCTCTTCATCTTCTCTAAAGCTTCAATTCGCACCATCTAATTTCATCTCCTCCGCCATTCTCTAACATTGATTTCCTCCCACACCTCCACACTCCGATTTTCCCTTCATCTCCTCCATCTATTCAAAGGAGACGAACAATTGGTCTTGAGAGTATGGAAACTACGCTCTGATTTCTCAGTTCACGGTCCTCTCGGACCAAGCCCTTTGCAACAAGAGTTGTCAGACCATAATTGGGATAGGCGACATCGCGGCGATTCGGTGGTTGGAAGCGACAGGGCTAGAGGAAAAATGAAGGGAGATGGAGCTCCAGTCGTCCATGGCAGCAAAGCAGAGCAGTGTGTGACCCTTGCAAGTTGCAACCTTATTTCCACGGAGATTAAGCAGATGGCTTGGAGTACGCGAGCAGACCTCACGAGCAGACCCAAGAGCTGGTTTTTTACCCTGGCAAACAGATTGGAGATCACGAAAGGGCAGTTCGAGTGTTTCTTCATGTTGGAGGCAAGCTGATTGGGGGAATCTAGTGGGTAATATCAGGTTGGAACCTTTGCACCATTTTTTGGAACTACAACATATTAATTTGATCTTTCCATTTAGAGCATGGAATTTCATCCATTAATATCAGGTTTACTGGTTGATCTCTGTGAGAACTATGTAGACCTATTTTATCTTGTTGATGTAGATATATACAGAGTATTAAACTTTGTTGAAATAGATATTTGATGGCAAAATGCATGGATTAAACTATGTCTCTAGCCTTTTAGAATTTAACAGAATAATATTTCATTTGTCCCATACATCACATTTTGGCTACTCACAGTATGCCCACTCTGGAGCCAGCTTTGCCGGTTCACCTTATAAGTTCCCTTCGAAGGATGATGACAGTCTAACAAGATGTATAAAGAAAATATATGAAGGAAAGCCACACTATGTGATAGATATATGTAATACATTGAAATATTAGATTGAACTACATAGTTGTTGTGATACTTTTATATATTGTTTTTTGTTTCTTTTTGTTGTATTGAATGTGTTGCTTTTTGTTGCATCTTGTTGTTTTTTGTTGCATCATGTTGCTATTTGTTGCACTGTGTTACTTATTTTTGTTTTGTTGTTGAATTGTTCTTATTTTTTGTATATTTAGGTTTTTACTTATCATTGATACTTCTCTAAAGTAAAAAATCATATATAGATTCATATTCAATCATGTAAAATGATAAATTTGAATTTCTATATATAAACCAACCACAAGAAACATAAAGAAACAATAAAAATCAAAAAATTCAGAGTTATCAACAAAAGGAAACAAGAAGAAACAATAGTCAACAAAAAGAAACAACAAATCTATTTATATTTTTTATTATTCATATTTTAAAATTTTAAAATTTTTCAACATTGAATTCTATTTTAATTTTTATATTATTTCAAATTTTGAATTTTCGAGTTTTATATTTCTTATGCTTTTTAGTTTATTTATATTAATTTCTTTTTAATTTTTTAAACAATTTACTTTTTATATTTTATTTTATAGCATTTAATTTTATTTTAAAACTTTTTTCAAACATAAAGAATCAATAAAAATCAAAAAAACCAGAGTTATCAACAAAAGGAAACAAGAAGAAACAATAGTCAACAAAAAGAAACAACAAATCTATTTATATTTTTTATTATTCATATTTTAAATTTTCAAAATTTTTCAACATTTAATTCTATTTTAATTTTTATTTTATTTTACACATTTTGAATTTTCGAGTTTTATATTTCTTATGCTTTTTAGTTTATTTATATTAATTTCTTTTTAATTTTTAAACAATTTACTGTTTATATTTTATTTTATAGCATTTAATTTGATTTTTAATCTTTTTTCAAACTTATCAATTTATTTAATTTATTTTTTTACTTTGTATGTATATCAGTCTCTAAAATAATAATTGTTTCATAACAGTTTATAATTGCCTATGATAATTTGTAATATCTTCAAATATTTTATAATTTCAAAACCATTTTTTATAATCATTTTTTATTTTTAATATTTCAAATATTATAGAGTTTAATTTCTTTTTTCTTTTTTTTTGAGATTTTTTTTCACTTTTTTCTTTATATGTTTGAATTTTTTTAATTACTTATAAAAAAATCAATTATTTATATTTTTAATGATTTAAGTACTTTTTAATCAAATTATAGGTTTTATGAAGTATTTTAAGAAATAAAATTACAGAAATTGTTCTATTTCTACAAATTTTCCACGTCATAAACTATTTTAAATATTTCCTATTTTTACATTTTATTGTTGTATTTTCAAATTTTTATACATTTTCAATACTCAGATTTTTTTTTAAATTGATATTTTATTTTTTAAATTTAGCTTAGGAGTTTTCAGTCTCAATTTTTATTATGCATTATGTGATTTCTTAATTTAATTATTTTATTTTTTTGTTTTATCTAATTTTAATACTTTTATTATTTTCTAATTATCTTCATCTCTTTTACCACATATTTATATCTTTTATTTAAAAAAAATGAATTGAGTAATTATTGTAGTTTATACAAATTTATCAAATGTGTGAAAGTAGCCACTGTCGATGCAGGCTTCAGACTTCTTTGAAGTGAAGAACTGAATATTACAGTAATTTGATTCAATGCACGGAGCACATAGTCTATTTTTGAAAGGAAAAGTTCGATAGACTCTTTTTGAAAAGAATTTTGAAAAGTGAAAAAAAGTGATATTATTTCACTTTGTGTCCAGTTGTGAAAAAACCCCTTGTATTAGAATAGCCGATTTGATAAAGGAACCCCGTGTCTTGAAAACGAAAAGGAGAAACTCATGGACAGGCCCAAAGGTCCACTATTGATTAAGAATAAGCCAAGACTCGGGTCATCTTCACGCAGGCCACAACATCACGAACAATCTTCCACCTACGAACGCACGAATAGCGAGAGACGAGAGACATCAGCGGCAACTCTCCTCGAGCCAACTGAAGGCTACCGAAGACTCTCCTCGTTAGAAAGCCCATCCCCCAGTAACGGTCAGCAACTACAGCGACATCATCTCCTCTCTCATGGACTCCGGCGTTTTCCTTTATACGCCGGCGAACAAGCGGTACCAACAATCCGGCCAACAGCACCATCAGTCCGGCGGCAAGTAAGAGGAGCGAAGACCTGCTCTCGGTGTTGTCCGCAATCAACCAAACCTGTTCTTCTTGGACAGAGCACCAGAAAAGAGCAGCGAATTGACATGACAGATCCTTCTCTCTGCCAAGCTTCTTCTGCAACTGGGATTTTGAAAGCAAAATTTTCTGCCTCTGGATTTTGAACGCCGGTTGGTTAAAGATGAGTTTGACCAAGCATGATAACTTCCGAAGCTTGAGATATCTTCTGCAATACGGTAAAAAAAACTTGATAAAGAAAGAATGGAAAAGGTAATTCACCTATTGCTTTACAGCTTCGGAGATGTTGATCGAGCTTGCCTTCAGGAATTTTGATGGCCTTTGCAAATTGCTGGGAGTGAGGTAAAGGTGCAAAAGAGAAGAAGATGAGTTGATATTTATTCACGGTAATAGATCTCAAATCAGGTAGATTAAATCCTACTCCTTAATAGAACTATAGAAGAAAAGTTCTTAGATGAAGTCAATTTATGCTCCATTTCTGGGCCTATGAACGGTACACTATTTTAGCTCTATATCCATGACAAACAGTACACTATATTCGGGCAATTAAGTTCATAAAATAAAGACGAGAATCACTTTATTATTATATAAGTTACACATTTGGGTAAAAGTAACAACACGAGTATTGTATAAAAAGAAAAAACATTTATTTAAAAACGTTTCTCGTAGACCAATGTGAAGCAAATCATTAATAATTGCTTCATAGACAACCTTCTTTCCACTAATAAATATGACAAACAATAAAATTGCCACATATAATAACAATAAACTTTCTTTTGAAATGATAAATGAAAAGAAATATTACCACATATTGAATTCATAAATTGAGAATGATTTATTTACCGCTAATGAGAGTATAAAGTTTGAAGTTTCGAAAGAATGAAGGTTTTCAAAGAGACAAAATGTTTGGCTGCCAAGAGGATTCACGCAAGAAGATTGCAAATTTGGCGTCCTCTAAAACTACTATTAGGAACTCAGATATAACTTATTGAAATTTGGAAACAAACGAATAATCGGGATGAAATTTGAGAGAAACGGGTTCTAAACAAAAATGATTATATAAATTTGTTATGTTATAATTAAATTGAATAAAAAACCTTAAAAACTAAAAAGATGTGAGAACCAGACATGTCTTTTATTTATGCAACAACAATTGTATTGCTTTTCAAAACTACAACTGATCCTGCTAAAAATTAATGTATATATTATGTTTTAAACTTGTCTCTGTTTAAGACTCTTTATTTATGTTTGAAATTTCCAAATTGTCAACAAAATTAATCATTAGGCCTAATTAATTGAACTTAAGAATAAAAAAAGAAACATACTCACACTATATATAAAAGAAAAAAATTTGAGCCTATTTTTTCTTCTATTTTTTTCGAGCCTAGGGCGTCGCCCCTCTTGCCCCCCTCAAAACCGGCCCTCTTTAATGCAAGAATGAATTGTATGCAACTGAAGTTGATTACGGAGAATAATAAGTTAAGATTTCCTACTTTAAGAGTTCGAATTGAAGTCAGAATTGAAGTGCATTAGTTAAAATCCGTGATGAAGCAAGAGAATTGCACACTTTTTGTAAGCCTAATGGGAATGATATAATTTTATATCAATAGATTCGGTGGATCTTGCGCATTTGATTTTAAAAAAAAAGATCTTTTGCAAAATTGGGCTAATTATGATGGATTACAGGATCAATCTTGGAGACTCACTTGTTCGTGATCATAAATAGGGTAATTTTATTCACAGCTACTATTTTACTAAATAGAGCCATAAACCTACAAAATGTCTAAGTTACCCTTACAATAAACACCCATCTAAGAAACCGGCCATATAAGACGCACCGACGACGAGATTTCAGCACCGGCGTAAACAGGGTAACAAAACCTGCGAACAGTAGCAGACCTCTGGGATGGAAACGGAACCTTTCAGATCGACGGAAGGGGATTAATTGCAAGGTCTTAAGATGTCCCCATCAATCGTTACAGCGGAAAAATAAAAGCAATTGATCTTTAATTTTAACATTAAAGAGAATTTAGAAAAAAACAATAGAGAAATCATTGAAAACACTTTTTCCGGTGGGTTTAGAAATCTTTCTGATTCCCTGAGCAAAATTCCAAATCCAAGAACCCTGTGGAAAATAGCTAGGCAGACCACTTGAAGTGGTATGTGTCTCCAACCTCTTTGAACAATTGATTCAACTTAAATGTATATGGCTAATTCTTCTTCTACTGTGCGAAGAGACATCCTTGAAGTGGCTGATTCCCCTGAGTAGCAAACTAGGGGGGAGATGATCTGGAGAGTGGAGACGAGTCGGCACTTGGAAAGAAGCGGGAGAATGGAGATAAGGGTATAGTTGGATGTATAAAACAATTTTGGTTGTATTTAGTAAAATCATGGTTGCGAATAGAATTACCTTAATAAATAGGTTCACTCAAGCAAGTCTCGAGGGGGCATTTTTGGACATATAAAATTGATCGGGCCATTTCTATGAGTCAATTATGCTTTAAAGTTGAACATAACTTATTGCCATTGGGCCTCTTTGAAATGACATGAGGCAAATCTTTAATCTTGGTTGATGGATCTCATCAAAAGAAAGATAATGATATGGAGGCCTTGAGAAGTAATTTAGTGATTGAATTAATTTGGATTATTTAAAATATCTGATTAATTTAGTTATAAATTGAGTTTTTAAAGAATGGACCAGTCCTATTAATTTTGAGCCCATTATCAAATAGTGGCTCAATAAATAAGAGCCATGATTCAATCGGTAAAGAGATCAATGAATCTCGTTAAGAAATTCATCCGTATGCATGGAAAACGGATGCGACCCTTGTTAAAAAAGTTGTCCAGATACATCGAACACGTGCTGATTTTTCTTGCTATTAAATGCAAGCAAATAGAGCACAAAGCTCATTTTAATAAGGGCCCTAAGCATATGAATGAATTTCACAACCCTAAAAGCATATTTTCACTCCCTCCGCACCTATAAATAGGGGTCTCATTTGATAGGAATGAAAGAGAATGTCTTGTCGAAGAAACGCTGCAGAAAAGATCTGAATAACTCCCGAGAGGCTCTGAACGATTCCGGAGAAGATGCAGAGATCAAACCACAAATTTTATTAAGAATATACGAATAATCCTTCGTGATTTCGTCGATTCTTGATAAAATAAATCCAAAAGTTGAAGAACGTTCGAAGATCTGAAGAACGAAGCTTGAAGATTCGAAGATCTGAAGAACAAGACTTTGAAGATTCGAAGATATGAAGAACGGATCTTTAAAGATTTGAAAATATTCATATAAAGATTGAATCAAAATTCAATTGAAGATCAAGTCATATATCTCGGGAGGCCCTTAAACAGAAGATCAAGACATAAAACGGTCCTTTTATTGAAGATCAAACCACTTGAAAACAGGATGCCTTTCAAGTTGAATTCACCCTTTAAACTCTTAAAAGTATATTGAGCCCATTGAATAATACTAGAAATAGTTTAATTTGATAAAATTGATGAAAAGTAACTTAGGCTAAATTGGTTGAATTTGCTACGTTATGGGAAAAAATATTTAAACTATATTATATTAATAAAACTAAGAAAAAATTACATTAAATAGTTAAAATGATTTTATATAATAATTTCAAACAGAAAAATAACTTCAATCTTACATATTATGATTGTTACTCAATTTAGTGCACACATTTATGGGTTTGATAGAATTTGCTTAAAATAGGGATTCCAAATCCCTCACGATTTAGAATTTACGGTATACTTTATTTTTTAGATATCACGTGTCTCAACGCTAGTGGCAGCAGAGCCAAAGTTTTATGATTAGGGGGTGGACCATACAATTTTATAATGAGGGGTCCAAAGTTTTAGTATATTTTATATATAAAAAGGAATGAATAAATAAATAAATAAATAAATAAATAATCAATATATTGGAATTTTATTTTAGGGGTGAGGTCACTTTTCGACTTCTCCATGACTCCGTCACTTTCAAACACATTTTGATTGATGAATATATAGATAGGGGCGGATCCAACGGGGGTTAGGGTGGTCTTCCGACTCCCCTCAAAGTTTGGGAGTATGTAACTTTGAAATATTTTCAATTTGATATATTATGATCTTCATAACTCATTAAAAGTAAACGGTTATGATTTCTGAAAAATCAACATGATCTAAAAGTAAAATCAGCAAAATTTGATGTGTAATGATGATTGTTTTCCCAAATTTTAAATGTAGTATATAATTCACTCATTACTAACGTGACATGACTCAGGGACAGAGCAAAGATAATTTATCGTACCGTTACGAGTGGCAGTGGATCCAAACTCAGATATTGTTCAAAAACGATTCAATATTTTCATTACGTATGTAGTTGAGTTTGGATCTCCTAACCTACGTAGTATTTTTCTGACTCCACCGGTGTGCATAGATGGGAAACCTCGAATAACATTTTAGTAAATGTGGGAGATTCTTTTACTGCAGTTTAATCAAGATGAGCTACACGTTCCTGTGATGTTAGTCTCATTAAATCATTTATTTATTAATGATGGGAGAGGGAGAAGTCCTTAATGTACTTGTGTCGTAGTACAGATAACAAGTGTTCATAAATTCATTCACATTTATTTATTTGTATTTATATAAAGCGTACATATACAATAGACACACTGTGAAGCAGCCGGCCTGGCCTTATCATCAACAACTTATATACTCATTATCCTTGGCTCTCTATCCCAACCCCCAAACAAAGCTAAGAGAGATTTAATTTTTCAAATTATTGATGTCTGATCACCATCATCGTCAGTTCACTCCAGACATGCAAATCCTGAAACAACCATTCTCTGCACTCAACAATGATCCGGCGGCAATGGAAATCATAAACCCGTTTCAAGACTTGATAAACCCGATCGGTTACTCAGCAGCGCTCCCCTCCATGAATTTTCAGAGCTCAATGGTGGGATTTTGCCCAGAAACTTTTCTCGCCCCTGAATTTGCTGAGAATTTGTGTCAAAACTTCCCGGCCGACGGCCATCATTCCCTGCTGCAAAGTGAGATGAAGACGAAGAAACCGGTGCCCAGAGCAGCCAATCGGCCGTCTATTAACTCGAAGATCACCGACCATACTCCGGAGAGCAGCTTGACGCATTCCGAGAGTGCCACCAAAAATGTACACATATATGTTCCTTATTAAACTATCTCACATTCCATCACAGCTATCAAAATATTTTTCATATTTGGACTACCTTATGGATCAAAGAAGTACGGAGTATGTGTAACAGTTGTTGGCATGTTTATTACAGTCAGGAGGGCGGCGGAAAAGAAAGAAGAATGGTGAAGAAGAAGTACAAGTGGAGGAGGAGGAGGAGCAGCAGCAGCAAAGGGAAGTGGTGCACGTAAGAGCTAAAAGGGGACAGGCTACGGATAGTCACAGTTTAGCAGAAAGGGTAATCCTTTCTTTTGTAGCAATGAAATGGTTCTTTTTTGAAAAACAACAATATTAATCTTCTTATTTCAAGAATCGTATTTAATTTGGTTTGTGGTGGTTCAGGTTAGAAGAGAGAAAATCAATGAAAGACTCAGGTGCTTGCAAGAAATTGTTCCGGGATGCTACAAGGTACGCAATTGAGATTTCGATTTGGAGCTAGATACGATAAGCAACCTTCTGATGGCAATAAAATTTCAGACAATGGGCATGGCTGTTATGTTGGATGAAATAATTAACTATGTGCAGTCTTTGCAAAACCAAGTTGAGGTAATATAATTATTAAGCAAAGAAGATGATGATGATTCAAAACTCAAACTTTACATTTGCTTATTTTGGGCTGTGGTGGTTTCAGTTTCTTTCTTTGAAGCTAGCGGCAGCAAGCACCTACTACGACTTCAACTCCGAAAGAGATGATACAGGAACACTGCAGGTGCGGTTCCAGACCAATTAAGCTTTTGAAGAAATGATGATCGGTTTTTTATATAATTCAACAAAATGATGATCTAACTAATGTAAATGGCAGAGAGGAAAAGCATACGAGGGATTGAAACTGCAAGGGGTAGCGAATTCCAACCCTCTTCACCACAGCCGCAGCCCCTATCCTTGTTAATTTCATTCTTCTTTTTCGATGTACAAATGAAATTCAAATCCGGTATACAAAGTGGGAATTCAATTAATGACTTCGTTCATATATTTTAGCTTACAACTATCTATCTCAAATCCGCTCCCTTTGTTTTGAATGAATGAATGAATGAATAAAATTGAGCTGCTGCTTCTGTGAAATTCTTTGGTTTCTTAGCTAGTCCGATCCGTACTGTTGAGAGTACATACATCCATCTATCCATCCGATAGAAAGGACTGATTTGTGCTAGATTAATGGCACCGTCTGCATCCATCATAATCCATCTTTGGAGGTGATTTGATGCGCGTTGCTTCCCATTTTCAGCCTACATATACGTACTATACTATACCCACCTAAAAATGCAGTACCTGAGCAGAGCCTACTCTCTATATGTCAGATTGAGATTATAATCTAATTTACATCCTCCCAACGTATCGTCCGGTCGGGGTTGAGTGGCCCTCCGGGATGAGGCGTCATCCTTTTTTTTTCTGATCAAATCAAAAGAAAATTTCTACTTCATTTATTGATGTTGGTCATTTTTATAAGAGAAAATCATTTTTAAGCAAAAAGTCTCAATTAGCTTTACTTTTTGCCTAATTTTTGTTTTATTTCACGTAAAGTAAAGTAAGAGTATACTTAGTGATGGATAGTGTACCCGGGGTAGCTTATCCGAGGGGTTATTGCGGAGAATAACTAGAGAGAAGTCAGAGCAAATAAGTAAGAGAGAGTGTATATTCGATATGTATTAAGCGTGGTTTACAATGAGGGAAAGAGGTGCTATTTATAGTAGTAATAAATGCTAGATAAGGACACGTGTCAGTTTTCTGGTGGTCGAGGGGTCACCTCGACCGGGGTGGCACTGGCACTCGCATGTGGCCGCATTAAATGCGGTGGTTGGATGTGACGTTTGTACTTGGTACGGTGATCCAGGCGCATGTGAAGAGGATATTCTGTCGAGGTGGATGCCTTCGGCTGAAGGGTGCTGGGCCGAAGGCTCTTCTAACCGAGGGCTGCAGGCGCCGAAGGCTTGGTTTTCAAGCCTTGTTCTCCTGTGATGCCTCTTCTAACCGAGGGCTCCTACCTGCCGAGGGCTGCAGTTGCCGAAGGCTTGGTTTTCAAGCCTTGTTCTCTTGTGATGTTTCTGAGCTCGATTCTGTCACTGGTAGCCTTCGGCCATGGGGCTTTAGGCCGAGGGGATGATAATGTGCCTCGAGGTCGAGGGCCCAAGGCTGTGACCGACGGCGAAGGCGAGGAACACGATTATCGGAGGTGGCGCTTCTTCAACTGGGGCTCCTCGAACTCCTCGTCGTCGCTGAACCTCCCGATTTCAAGTTTCTTCATTGCGATGTCCCCTTCTTTTTTATCGGTGTTCTCCCTGGCATTTTTCCCTGGGGAATTTTTGATGAATTGGTGGAGCTCACCCCGTTGAATTTAACGAGACACAATCGTCTGTATTGTGGGAGGTGCTTTTGTGGTAACGACAATATGTGCCGCCTTGGTGGATGGCGTAGATCTCCCTCGCCGACCGAGGGTCCCTGGGGAAAAGGTCGTGCTCTTCCGCATAGTTGAGGATAGTGCTCACCGGGTGCGTGAGGGGAGTCCTCGGCATGTCCAACTGAGGGCGCCATTGGCGTTTGTTACGGCCTTGCTGGGTGTGACTTCCATGGTCTCGGCCTCCGGCCGAGGGCGTATTTGGGGCCGGCGTGTTGTTTGTCTTCTTCGAGGGCTGGCCCTCATTCTTCTTGAAGGAGTGGAGGTCGTCGGTGTCGGCGTATAGTCTCCCTCGCTGGAGTGCTCTGAGGTATGATCTTGGGGGGTCGGTGATGAGGCTCCGTGCGTAGGAGCTGCTGCGGAGAACCCCCTGGAAGAGGACGAGGACGGTACGCTCGTCGGCGCCCTCGACCTCGTCTGTCTCCTTCATCCACCGGTCAATGAAGGACCGAAGTGCTTCGTCAGGCTGTTGCTTGACGGAGAGGAGGTGGGAGAAGTGCTTTCTCACGCGCTTCCTTCCGACAAAATGGGTGAGGAAGCGTTGGGGAAGATCTTGCCAAGAGTCAATGCTGCCCTCGGGCAATCGGTTGAACCATTCGTATGCTGGTCCCTCCAAGGTGGAAAGGAACCAACGACATAAGTATTCATCTGATGCCCCCATCATCATCATGTTGTTTTGATACCTGTTGTAGTGCTCCTGGGGGTCGATTTTTCCTTCATAGGGCTTGATGAGTTGCCCTCGGTACTTTTCCGGAATTTGGGCCGCCAATACCCTTGGGGTAAATGGCGTCCTAGTTCGGAGTTGGATGAAGGGTTCCCCGGAGCCTTCGGCAAATTTCCTTTGCATCTCCTCCATTTTGGCCAACATTGCCTCATACTTGAGGTCTGTATGAGGGGCAGAAGTGGTGGCGTGTGCTTTGGTGGCCTCCATCTCGTCGAGCCGGCGCTGGAGGGCCGCAATGATTTCGTCCCGGGGGTCCTTCGGGAGGGCCTCCGCCCCCTACAAATGGATGCGGGCCGAGTGAGCCTGATTGATTTGATGGCGGGCGTCGTTGACATGGAGAGGTGCCTTGCCTTTGTCCTGAGGGGGACGCCTTTCATTGGCCATGGAGAGGGATCCGCCACTTTCCTGAGGCCTCTGGAACGCCTTCCCCCCGAGGCGGTCTTGGACCCCTCGACGATCTTGCGCCCCTCCGAGTCTCTCGAGGGCGGAGGTCCGAAGTTGTTCTTTGTTTACGTTGTGGCGGTCCCGGGATTGGACTTCCTGGGAGGCCGTATCTTGGGCCACGACCCCCTCGGAGTTCCCAATCCGGAGGACCGGGTTCCCGAGGGGGTGTGGATGAGGGGGAGGCATAATATTCTCCCCGACCTCAGGTTGGAGGGGAACCAAAGTGCCGAAGGCACCCGGGTTCTAGGTGAGCGTCTGGATGAAGGCGGAGAGCGCCGATTGTACGTCGATTGTGATGACCGGAGGGCTAATTTGATTCTCGCTCCGGTCCTTCTTCTTGGCCTCGATGCCGAGGCGGCCATCGGGGGCATTCTGTTGAATTTGATGGCGTAGGTCGACAGCCGTCTGGTCCAACCCGGCGATGACGCCGCCCCCGGGAGCCCTGTTGGAGGCCTCGGGGACGTCGACCTCGCCGAGGGCCAGGTTCCTGTCCTCTACATTCTTGGAGTTGGCACGAGTTGTTCTCACCATTTTAGCTAGGTGTTTTGTGTTTGGTCGAGGGGGAGGGTTTCTTACTTGATTGTTCGACCTCTTAATGAGAGCACCAAATGATGGATAGTGTACCCGGGGGGTAGCTTATCCGAGGGGTTATTGCGGAGAATAACTAGAGAGAAGTCAGAGCAAATAAGTAAGAGAGAGAGTGTATATTCGATATGTATTAAGCGTGGTTTACAATGAGGGAAAGGGGTGCTATTTATAGTAGTAATAAATGCTAGATAAGGACACGTGTCAGTTTTCTGGTGGTCGAGGGGTCACCTCGACCGGGGTGGCACTGGCACTCGCATGTGGCCGCATTAAACGCGGTGGTTGGATGTGACGTTTGTACTTGGTACGGTGATCCAGGCGCATGTGAAGAGGATATTCTGTCGAGGTGGATGCCTTCGGCTGAAGGGTGCTGGGCCGAAGGCTCTTCTAACCGAGGGCTCCTACCTGCCGAGGGCTGCAGGCGCCGAAGGCTTGGTTTTCAAGCCTTGTTCTCCTGTGATGCCTCTTCTAACCGAGGGCTCCTACCTGCCGAGGGCTGCAGGTGCCGAAGGCTTGGTTTTCAAGCCTTGTTCTCTTGTGAGTCCTCTTCTAACCGAGGGCTCCTACCTGCCGAGGGCTACAGTTGCCGAAGGCTTGGTTTTCAAGCCTTGTTCTCTTGTGATGCCTCTTCTAACCGAGGGCTCCTACCTGCCGAGGGCTGCAGTTGCCGAAGGCTTGGTTTTCAAGCCTTGTTCTCCTGTGATGTTTCTGAGCTCGATTCCGTCACTGGTAGCCTTCGGCCATGGGGCCGAAGGCACCCCTTTGCGTATTGTGGGCTGCATAGAGCTCCATTTTTCTGGGCTTGGCCCGTTTGGGCCTGTTGGGCCTGATTGTAGTAGAGGAAGTATGTGGACCGGGGGTCCCTGGGCCATATACTCCATCACTTAGAAAGTCAAAATAAAATTTAGCTTTACATAAATGTGAGCGTAGTTCAAATCGGGAAGTTCATTTTGGAATGAAGAGTGTATACATTTTAGCTCAAGTCAGAAATGCAACTAATGTGAGAAATGAAAAATGAATCTCACCATTTGGATTTGACTATCATAATAAAAGAGTTGAACTTCATGTTGCACTAAAAAATGCAACAATGCACGCTAACATTGGGACGGAAGGAAGTTGTGTGGTTTTTAACAAAAATAGAATTATGTGATTGATAATGAGTTGATAAAGTGGGAATAAAGTAAAAATGAATTACAGTCACACAAATGTTACCAAATATGGTATGAGACAATAATACAGAGACATCCAAAAATGGTAAAATGGGACAATTATAGAGGGACGGGGGAGTACCTTTAAAAATTAGTGTTACATTTCTCTAGTACGGTGTAATATGAAGCTCGTTTGGTGCAACATCATTAAATGCTAGTGCAACATAAAACTGTTTTAATGCAACATTGCAAAACTTAAATCTTAATGCATCATGAAGCCGTGTTTTAGTGCAGCATCATTATTTTTACAACTGAGATTCATTCTCACTTTTCTCACATTAGATGCATTTGTTCTAAATAAAAAGAATAATTCTCATGAAAGGTAAGAATAAATTTGGAACATCGAATTTATGATCTAATGGCTCTAAGTATGTCAAAAGTGCATTAAGACCAGACCAGGCTTGAACAAACCAAACTAGACCAAACTTAAACAGACCAGATCAGACCACACAAGACTTTCATAATTATAAAAAAACACATAGACCAGACATTTATCAGACCAGACCAGTTCAGACCAGACTAGACTTAAACAGATTAGCCAGACCAAACCAGTAGATATCGGTCCAAGTAAAAACATCCTAAGTGGATGAAGATCAATTAAAGTTTTTCTTCATTGCAAAAATTACACTAACGATATGAGAACATCCCGTTCACGCTTTGTACGGAATACAATTTTTTGGGAGATTTGCAATTTTAGTCTCATAACTTT